CTGTACCACCCATTCAAAAAGAAAAAGTATCTAAGTTAAATTTTTCCAGTGCATAATATCCTTGCTGGAATAATGAGCATAAGCACTGAGATATATAACATGTAGCTTCAGATTCATATACTCCCAGATCTTCCTCCCTACTCTCCCTCAGATTCTTAAGTGTTATCGCTTTATAATAGTAGTTGCATACGTGCACGTGCCTCGAGTTTAATGCTTCTGGAATGCTGTGCACTGATTGCAGGATATTGGTTCATTGCGCTTCAATATTCTACTTAAAGCATTGTAACTTAAAAAGAACTATTGTACAACGAAATCTGGACGAAAAAAAAAAAAACCCAGTGAAAAAGCTACGTGTCAGTCATTGTGGGAGATAGAAGTAGAAAAAGGAAACATACATTCCACTAGCATCCGGCTTGTGCACTTAAGTATAGCCGAAAAGGTTCTAAAAGAATTCCAAATATCAATGTTATCTGACAAAACTATTGCAAGGTGGTTTAGCTTTCTTGCATTTAATTAATTTTTTTAAACTATTATATCAGTTGGGTGTTGTTTATCCTAGATGAGAAGAGCTAAAATATGGAAGAAAATACACATGTAGAGTCCTTAGGTTTTTTTTTAGGAGAGGTGAAAAATGAGCAATGCCCCCGTCGGGACTCAAACCCTGGACCTCTCGAAGACACGTCAAGTTTGCTACTGTTATACCACGAAAACATGCTGGAAGGAGGGAGAAACTACTTTATATATTTCTTCTTTTAAAGGATGACTGGGAATTAAGAGGCCAAATCCTGGTGATGACGAATTATTGTCCACTACCTTTTAGTTTTGGCGCTATTTGTAGAGGCATTAGGCATTTTTGAAGGAGAAGATATGAAAAATGCGCAGTGCCCTCTCTGGAACTCAAACCTGGACTTCTCGAATATGCGCCTAGTGTGCTACCGTTACACCACGAAGACATGCTGGAAGCAGGCAGAAAATATCTTATACACTTGAGTTTCAAAATAAAGTAATTACCAGTAATTTTAGTGATTTATTAAAAATGATATTTTTCCTAAAATATAAAAAATATTAAAAAGCAATACATGAAAGAAAATGAAAATTAAAAGATAATAAAATCTCAGTTCTGTTTTGGTTATGAGACATAGAAAATAAATTTTATTATTATATTGTTACGTTTTTCTCTTCCTTCACGTTCGTACGGGGTTCGTAGATTTGGAGTGAATAACGACGACACTTGATGAAGTATCGAAACACATTTTATTTACCAATATTCTCAGGACAGCTCCAAAATCACTTTTACAGTCGTCGAACTGTTATAAACACTCTGACACGTTCAGCGACACAGCCTTCACACTGTTCTCGGAACTCCACGTACTCTCGAGACTGTCCACGCGGTGCACTCGACGATACACAAGAGTATAGCTCTCGACTCAGCACAGTCTAAGACAAAACTCGACGATGCACTAAAAGACTCTCTCGATGCACTCGACGACCAACTCGGCGCTAGACTTCGAGACACTCGCTCAATGACTGACTATCAGCTCGCTAGATACACACACTGACAGCGGACCAGCAGGATTTATATAGCTTTCGGCTTGTGTTCGAGAAAATTCTGGGGTAAACTGGTAAGAATTCGTTCCAGAAGGTTCTCCATCCGTCCATGGTATATCGCCAATTTTGTCGCCAAATGGGCGATTTCTCGCCAAACGTGGCAACCTTGCCCATTTTTATGGCAACCCTAAAACTGTTTTGCGGGGAAACTATCTCACCGCGCCTGTACATTTCGTAACAATATGTATGGTTTGTTACTTGAACTGCTCATAGTGAAGCTTAAAATATTTCATGAAATATACGTTATAGATACAAAATGCTGTTTTAATGGGTTCGCTTTCGTTTAATTCCATTATTAAGAATTAAAATTATGAATCAGGGATTACTTTAATTCTGTCCAATATTAATTTTTAAAAAGAAGTTAGTAATTTAATTTACAGATAAACAACTAATATAATGTATTCTACTGGTTTTAAGTTATGCTTGATATTGGATTGTGATAAACCAGTTTATGTAACTGTAAATTTTACTTTCTGTTTTTAGAAAAGGAAAGCATACGTGAATGAATAACTGATGAAATTTGTTATATGTAACATTTCTTTCTAAGTTTCTTTAAACATTCATTAAACTTGGGGAGGGAAGTAAATTAGGCAGACATTGTTAATTATAGAGTTCTCAACCTGAATTAAATAATTTCTTTTGGAACGGCATCAAATGTTAGAAAATGTCACTTAATTTAATTTATTGGATCCCTATTATGTAATGATTACCAACAGCAGCCCAATTAATTAATAAGTTAGAAAATTCAATAACTTACCCAAGTAAAGTAAAACATGGGCAAGGAAATAGAAATCATTAATTTGAAACGCAAAAATTTTTTTATGATAATATTAAGACTGGATTACCTTGACTACAGACTTGAGTATCTTTCCGGATCAGTTCATCAGAAATCTGTTTCTTAATAAAATAGCAAAAACCGCAAAAGAACATTCCGAAAGGCAAATCGTTGGCCAAAACCCAATGCTCGTAAGCACATCTCCCGGTGACAAAAATCCATTTCCATCTTAAGTTAATCGCTCGAATTTATTTTTGTTGGAAATTAATCAAAAAAGTATTGTAGAATTATTGTAAAGGCATCATTTCGTATCACTTGAAGAATTTTTTTTATTACTTCAGTTATAACAATGATTTTGCGAAAGGTTAGAAAATGGCAAGTGCTTCAAAACACGTAGATTACATACCTGTCATTTTATTCCTTCCTCCTCCCTGCTCAAAAATGCCGTTATTCTACTGCTTTTTTTCCTACGTTACCAAATAAATTTTAAATTCGATTTTCAGAAATTTTTCAGTATTATAAATTTCGTATTGCATAGAAAAGACATGCGTAACTGGAAGCAAACAGAAGAGACAGAAGCTGGGCTTGTTCTATTCTATATCGGTATCTGAAGATAAATACCGACACAGAAACAGACAGGTGAAACCGTAACTAACTAAATAACTACCAAGCTGAAAATAAACTCTTATGGCTAGTTAACTTCAACATTTCTAGTGATCTTTCAAGTAAAAATTGCGTTGTGTTTTTTATGCATCCGGGACCGTGCCGTGGGAGGATCGGATGACAAGAGGTAAATACAATATATATATAGGAAAAACATAAATAGATATAAAGAAAACAAAAAAATAGGTTTCCAGATTAAAATACTAGTTTATTCAGATTCCTCAAGATTTTTAATTAAATTTCACATCATTGGTAATTAGGACTCAATACCTTATTTCAGTTACACATCTGAACTAATCAATTTATACCATTTACTACTTAAATGAAGGAATACTGTACTAAGGATAATTTCACAAAATCAAACTATATTTTTATACCATAATTAACTTATTAAGATTTTCCAATTTAGTCTCTGTAAGGAAAAAAACGGAAGGGAGCGAATTTTCAAGCATTCAAAATTAAGTTAGAGTTTAAATAAGAAACAAAATGTCCTAATAAATATTTCAGAATTAATTTAGAGTCCAGAAAATGAATACACAGGAATGACTTATCTTTAAGTAGACATCTTGAAGAGGGCTCGGAATTGACTCGGCGAGACCTTGCCCTCCTGGTAAACCTTATCATCCGGAAGAGAGGTACTGAAGACTGATTTAATTCAGCCTTTTTAGGAACTCCAGTCGACGTTCGAAACACGATTCATTTCAACATGCTTACATTTTCGCTTCAGCTATCTCAACCGTGGAGAACGCCTACAACTGGTTTCCATAAAAGAAAATTTTTTCCACTGGAAGGCAAGAGAAGAGCTTGCGCCGCACGGCTGTCGGAATAGAATTTACTCTCAACAAGGCAAAAGACTATTAAGAAAACGGCTGTCGCAGGTTTTCATTAGTCTACGGTAACGAAATTCCTTCCTTCGGTTTCAAGTCGAAGTTCAGAGGACGTCGTCCTGGCGTTAGCAGATCCAGATGAAGACCAAAGTCTCTGTTAATTTTTTATTATTCGCTCAGCAGTTTAGTCTATCGCCACTCAATATCCTCTTCTCAAAATATTTGCTAAAACAGGCGGCCGGGGAGCATAATTGCCTCTCCCCGCCGTAAGCACTACTCGAAGACAATCTACATTTTTTTTTTCACTTCACAACAAGAACAAGTCTAAAATCTGAGTGTCGGTCAAAAAGGTTCAGTCAAAAGTGATTCAAACTCGAATTTTCTTCGTCTCCTTCACAAACACGGGCTTCCATAGTGGCTTCATTTATAGCCCCCTATTTGGGACTAAATTTGCGTTTCTTTCCCTGAATGACCGAAATAGGTTTATCACACACGCGCACCCCTCTTCACTTAGACGACACCGAACACCCAGATCGCCAACCAAGATGACTTAAATCGGAGGTGAAGTGTCAACCTCTGACCTTTCCGTCACGCACATCCTGTCCCAAAGGTCAATTGCATAAAAGAAATTTGTTCTAGAACTTTCCAAGGAACAAAACAACCCGCGAAAATCATGACTTAGCAAAATCGCCTCCGTTCCCGAATTCTTTTCACAATGAACCGAATCTTGGACAAAAATTTTAAATGAAAAGGAAAATAAATAATATTCTTAGAAGCTAAATATATTCTTAGAAGCATCTGTTTTTCCCCAAAATTAAAGCATTAAAATAATAATTCAGAATCAAATAAAATTAAGATTTTCTTAAATCAGAAAAAAAAAATCACCTGGTTTTTTTGTAACGCGATCAAACAATTATGTGTACACAACAGGCTTATTCTCACAACTTATAACGTAGTAAAATAATTTTGAATTTCTATCTGTATATTCTAATTATTTAAGTTAAACAAAGGAAAAGAGATCCAATGAATTGTGCTACAAATATTTTAGCAAAGTTATTGTAATATATTCTTGTGTAATATATCCATGTAGCGTATGTATCTCTAATACAGATTTTTGTTTTCGACAGCTTGGCAGACTGCAGATATATGCAATAGGTGACCATTTGAGAAGAAGGTATACAGAGTTTATTTCAAGTAATCCGAATGAGGTACTTCATAAGATATATATTTTTATTAATCTAAGCTTTATCACCTTTATTAACAGTGTTACCTGCAACCTTTCCATTCAGGTTTTAAATTTAGGCTACGGATTTTTTATTACATAATTGGTATATTATGCATTATATTGCGCATTTATGTCCAAAGACATATTGTGAAGCCAGCTACTGGGGGAATCATGTAGATGATCTAATATAAACGCATAACATCTTTATAGGAATGATTGAATATTAAAATTCTCGTTGCATATACGTTCACATAAAGTCCCTGAACATTTTTAATAGCTTGCTGTTTAGGAATAGAACAACTTACACTAGCACACTTTCATAAGTTTCAATGTTTTTGACATGTGACGGAAATTACATAACTTCGACGTAAGACAAATGACATCTGGTTGACGCTCCTCCAGCTGAAGGCAAACGTAATTAATCAATGTATTGAGCCAAATGTCGGCTATAACTCTTTTATCATGGAAAAAATGGTCCAAAAAATCTTTCAATACAGCATTACAAACCAAGCATTCACTTTCGAGCTGTTCTACTTTAGTTGCTTGTGACATGAAGATTTTGGGATCCTCACATTATATGCATATTATACCAAAACAAATTATTAAACCAAACAAATTTTGGGGAAAATTTTTTATATACATGTAATAAAACCATTAAATATTTGCAGCACTACCTTTTTCTAATTGCTCACAATAATAGGGAAAAATGTTTCAAGGACTTTGTAGAGACATTAGGATTTTTTAGAAGCCAGAAAAGATGAAAAATATGCAACCGCCTTCGCCGGGAACCGAACCACGGACCTCTGGAATACCGGCCCAGCGTGCTACCGTTACTCCACGAAGGCACGCTAGGGAAGTGGGAGAAATACCTTATATACTCCCCTTTTTAAAGGGCGACTAGGGTTTTAGGGGACCTAGTCGCCAAATCCTGGGTGCGGAGAATCATCATTCATAACCCTTTTAGTTCGGGCGCCACTTGTAGAGTCATTAGGTATTTTTTAGAAAGAGGCAAGATGAAAAATTAACAACGCCTTCGCCGGGAATCGAACCACGGACCTCTGGAATACCGGCCCAGCTTGCTACCGTTACACCACGAAGGCACGCTAGGGAAGTTGGAGAAATACCTTATAACTTTAGGGAAACCCTATACAACTGATAAAATTTGCGATGGTAATGAATAAACTTATCTGTTACAAGAATGTGAAACTGAATTGTTTTATTTAGTGTAATGGTATCATGACATATGAAACAAACTGAAAAATCAAATGCATATGGTAGAAAATGATATTATAATAAAAGTAAAATGTAAAGGATGTCTGATAATAAAATTTTAGGAAAAAATAACGTAGAAACAAAAGCAGACTTTTGATTACGGTAAGAAATTAAATCTTTCTTGCTACGCGTATATATATTACCTAGTGATTCCATCAATTAACTGAATATGGTCTTTCCTATCATGCGTACAACATAATTAATTTTTTCAATAAGATGCTCGTTAAAGTTTAATTATATAATAAACTGCTTGTTCATCAATGCGTGGAAAGAGAATTTTGCCAAATCCAAAAGTGCGCGATAATTTAATAACAGAACTCGTATCGAGAGGTTTCGTTGCAGACTTTTCCCTCTTTGCTTTGGGCTTCGATCTGTTACCGACGTCTGAAGAGTTAAAAATGCAGAATACCTGTATCTGGGTTCACCTTGAGCTCAGGTGAATAGACTGGCTGCACGTTTGTTTTTGATGGTTTTCCCCATGAATACAGGATAAATCTGAACAAGTGGCAAAACTTTTGCGCGGTAATTTAGAAGGCAGCTATACGAGAAAAATTCGTCACAGAATGTATGGTAAGGCAAACGACGAGCCGCTAGGTGGACTGTATATGGTATAAAAAAGGTCGGTCCTCGCACCCAACGGTATTTCTACTTTGAACTGCTTTATAATTCCTAACTCAAAGAAACAGAACTGTTTTTTAACTTACGAGGTGAATACGACCTAGTAATTTATTTAACTGTGAACTTTGAACTTTTTTGACTTTTGCCGCCACTACGACCATGAATGGCCAGACTTCGGTCATGATAAAATTCACGCCTACGGGTGACAGGTAAACATAAGGTTTACCTTTTTCTTAAACTAAAAATGATATGCTAACGGCTACTCAGATTTATTGGTAAAAGCTCTTTGTAGCTGTGACCAAATCGTTAAGGATGACAATGACAATGATCAACGGTGTTTTCTACCATGGATTGCTGAGAGGATGGCTGGCTATACGAACTGCGACATTTCCAGGGCGATGGATTGGTCGAGGTGGTTCCATGGCTTGGCCAAAACGATCACCTGATCTCTCGTGTTTGGACATTTTTCTGTAGGGCCATGTGAAAAGCCTAATCTACGAGTGCCCCATTGAAACCAACATGAATGTAGTCTGCAGGATCGCCGTTGTTGCCAACGATACTCAGGAAATGCCTGGGGTCCTTGCAAATGTGCATCAGTCCCTCTTCCGCAAGTGTTATTCCTGCATTGTTATGCCCGCATTACAGGTGTTACGCCTGCATTACAGCTGGCGGAAGGTCTTTTGAGCAATTTGTTTGAGAATGCACATCCCTGTTAAAAAATGTTTTCTGAAGTATCTCCTCTCATTCTTGTTACAATTTTTATTGGTGACAGTGGAAAATTACGCTTTTAACTCCTCACCGCTTGCATTCCGATCATGCATTCTATGGCAAAACTGCTCGTATAGCTGCCTTTTATGTTCAATCACCCCCTAAAGTTTTGCCTATTTGTTCACATTTACCCTGTATAAGGAAGTTTTCGTTAGAAAGTCGTCCACGAAAGTATTCCTTACAATAGGCAGATAGCCCTCGTATACTGTGTTATATACCCAATAACCTAATCTAACTTGCCTTGGTAAGAAATCGATTAATCACGTTTCTTCAATATAAGTAGACCTTGAAATCATAAAATAGCATCGCATCCACATGCACCTCTAAAATGTCTTACATAGAGTTCGATTATGGTCGGACATAAATTTTCTGATGATACGTGCAAGGTGTATGTCCACGGATTATTACCTCCGTTGCATCTATGCTAAATTAAATTCATGCTCAACTGCAATATACCACCCGTATATATATGTTTCAAGTCACCAATAAAAAAAGTTACATATTTTTCAGGGTTCGTACACATTTCCTTACATGAAAATTAAGGACTTTTAAGGACATAAAATTAAGGACTTTTAAACCAAATACTTAATTGTCTATTGAAGCTTCAAAACGTATTTCCGAACTTCACTTTTTCTCGGCTAGCGTTACCGAATTTGCCCTTGGCGACCTAAAATCGAAATGGAGCCAACAGATTTCCCGCGAAATCGATAACAGACCCTCTGCAGAAATAAACTCATAATTCCGATATCCCATATATATAGTATGTGCAAAAGAGAATAAACTCAGTAGAAGGTGATAAAAAATTAATTTATGGCTTAATTGAAACAAACACAGAAATTAAGCTAAGCAAAACCGTGTAAAACAAATTGAAATGATAAAACGAAACTTAATTTTCATGTGAATTTTCAGCGCTGACTCTCCCATTCTAGAAATTTCAATTTGTTTCAGACAAAGACCACATTTAGCTTTTAAGGATTGATCATCCATCAATATCCAGTCTTTAGTAGTCAGCTTGATGAAGCCACAGTTTATTGAAAATGCACTTTCCAGGCATCTCGTTCCTATTGGCGTCGGAAGGGGTTGTGGCCTTTCCAGGTTGGGATTGCTCTAATTTTGGGCAAATATTTTCAGAATCCCCCCCCTTTTTTTTCTCGAGCACCTTCATCATCACTTTCGCCCTCTTAAAGAAACTTCCGGCCTCACGCTTTCGTCACAATCTGCCTAAATTTATGGATAACACCTGTTTCGAAAGATTGGGTGAATAGCCAATCAGACACCGATACTTTCGTTCTACGGGTAGCTAATTGTTTTTTTTTTTTTTTTTTTTTTTTTTTTTTTATCGTTTGCAACGCAAGTCCGCCAACAGATTGGTTAAGAGCCGTGTTATTTTAATTCCATATTCATGAGAAATCGTAATTCACACTTAGAAGGGCAATCATTAGAAATGATAAGAAATGTCAAATGAGCAAAATTAAGGACCGTTTATTCATTTTGGCCCAAATTAAGGACTTTTAAGTACCAAAAATCATTTTTGAAAAAATTAAGGACTTTTAAGGACCGTACGAACCCTGTTTTTATATGTAATTACGCCATTACTATATTATTGGTATTGTAATGGCTTTACGGATGAATAAGGCACCATAAAGAAAACGAAACAAATATTTATTAAAAATTAACGTTCAAAGAATAATGGTAAAAAAATTAACGTTCAAAGAATAATGGTAAACTCGGAGCACTATCTCGCTCCTACAACATAGTTAATCTACCACCTGCCTCCTCTGAGGCTAACATGCAACTGCCGTCTCTCTCACTTGCTGGACTCTGGCAGGCAGCTGATTGGCTCATCGCAGCCAGATACATGACACTCCCCCCCCGGTAAGATTGTGCTACGCCAAAGCAAAGCAGAATCTGAAAACTGAACCAACAAATGAGTTCACAAACTTCAGTTGCATACTTCACATACCAATGCTTAACCCCTTCGAGCCGGGTAGCGAAAACGCGCGCTTATCGCTGAGGCCGGCAGTGTCTTACGCGAGCGTCTCTCCAGGGCCGGGGGCTTTTTTGCTACTAAGCCTAAATCCATGAAATTTCCGAAGTATCAACGCATTGTTTAATAATGCTCTATAGAGTATTTAAACGGCTTATGCTTTATAAATATTTATATATATATACTTTAATTACCTTATTTCTTGTTTAAATGCATATTTTACACATTTTATTTTAATTACTCACCATTTTATGAATTTTAACATTATACATCTGAAAACTAAATATATTACTTAAAATTCTCTTTTCGTATGAAAAATTTGAAAACAGGGATCTACA